TGAGGGGAAGACAATCGGGGTTCACACACTTCAGTGGAAGGTTTGGAAAGCGCTTTAGAGGAAACGGTCAACAATTCTCGTGCCTTCAAGGTGGATTTAGAATCTAACCCGGGTTGAGAATGCAGTGAAGTTTGATTCCGTGCTTTAGGGGAGGTTTTTGAGATGGCCATTTTGGGATGTAGGTCTAGAGGCTCGTGAAGCATCGAGGGGGCCTCTGTTACAGAGACTGTCTCAGATTTCGGCAGCTTCTTTTGCACCTTAGTGGGGAGCTCTACAGTCTGAGGTTTTGTGGATGGGGATAGCAGCGCTTCTGAAGCAGGAGACTTAGAAGGCATGACAGGGGACTGCCGAGTCTTAGGGGGCCGGCCACGCCTCCGCTTTTCCACAGGGGAGTCACCATTCTCACTGCTGTCTGTCTTGCTCTTGGGAGATTCGCTCTTGGGAGAGGAGCTCTCAGGTCCCTTCTGCTCTGGGGACTGAGTACGTGGATGGCCCTCAGGTGTTTTCCTAACTGGTGCTTTTCTTTGGGGGCTGATCTCCAGAGCTGGCTCAGAAAAGGTCTGAAGCAACCCTGGACTCTGCTGATCCGGTGACTTATTCTTGGGTGGACGTCCTCGTTTGCGCTTGATGGGCTCAGAGGACTTATTACCTAGCAGCTCCCCTTTCGAACCATCGCCCTTTTCTTTGGCTGCTGCCCGGCTCTCCAGTTCGATTCTTCGCCGGGCAGGCAAATCCCGCAGCAGAGGCAAGGCTTTCATAGAAGGTGGAATTTCTGGCTCCGACAGGCTTTGTGCCAGGCTGCTTCCCAGATTCATCACAGCACTGGGAGCCAAATCCAGCTTGCACAGGCGATTGCGTCGTCGACGAATGAGCTCTTTCTCTTCCACCACTGTGACCAGGCGCCCTGGCAACTTGCGTAAAACTTTGGCAGCAGGGCCATCTGGCGTTTGGCAGCTTTGCTGGATTTGCACATCAGCGCTGGTTCGGCGACGAGGAGGTTTGTTCGGTGAAAGGCTGTCATCTGAAGACAAATTTCCTGGAAGCGACGAACTCTCCTGCGAAGAGGCAGAGCCAGGGCAGACTGCTGCAAGCCTAGCCTCCTGGGGCACCTCCCCATGTTCCCCCCCCCCTACTGCTCCTTGATTCTGAGCTGTTGTTTCACCCAGACTATTGACTTGGTTGTCACCTGTCTCTGATTTTGGCGATGTACCCCCCAAGGGCACGATTTCAAGCTGGGGCTCAGTGAGCAAACTTGAAAAAGGAGAAGGGAGGTCTCCGCTTCTCAGAGATTCCTTCATGCCATTTTGTTCCTTGATACAGGCCAAATTTTCCAGTTGAAGGAGAGAGCTGGCAGCTGGAGAGTGATCCAAGGAAGGAAACACAGGGGGGTCCATCTTGGGGACTTTGCTGTCTAACACAAACGATGCTGCACTCTCTGCGGCTTCCCAAGTGGCATATTTTGTGCTTTTAGAAGAAAGAGGCTCAGTTACTACCTTAGCAGTGTCATTAGGAGGTGTTGCGGTCTCTCGAGTAGAGATCTGCCTGGTTGCCTCATCTGCAGAATTGACAAGTTCTTCTTCTGCAACACTGCAGCTGGTGCTCATATCTGCTCCTTCCGTTGGCTTCTCCACACTCATCTTTTGCTCAATCACAGGTAAATTTATTTCACCTGTAACCTCAGGTTTGTTCTCAGAAGTTAGTTCCACAGTGCCAAGTGACACTGGAGTCGTTGCTTTTATTTTACTATCTGGGATATTCAGCTTCCCAGCATCAGGTAATGCCTGTGTACGCAATAATTTCCCAGTGAGCAGAGTGTCTTGTTCTTGGAACGCTGCAACTTCCTTAACTGCAGCAGACTCAGCAGGGTGGAAATCCAGGGTTGGTTGACTGAACTGGGAAATTTCTATTTCTGTTTTCTGCTCTTCTACATCTGCTTTCAATTTAAATGCCTCTCCATCAAGTCCTTGCAAGTGAAATTCGGGAGCCTTTACCTCCGTCCTTGACACCTCAGGCTTAGGTGAGCTGCATGTAAATTTATCCAGCCCGGAACGTTTTTTATGCTTCTGTAGACCTGGCCTTGGCCCTTTATTCAAGTTGGTATCTGATGCCTGTGGGGCACTTCCTGGTAATCTTTCATCAACAAGCAGGGTCTCGGTCTTTGATGTGATACCTCTTAGAATTCTGTCCCCAGCAGCTCCAGGATCTGATTTCTGTGGGGTAGCTTGTAGCAGCTTATCCCCAGCAGATGGGGTATCTGGTCTATGGAGATTAGTTCTCAAAATCCTGTCACCAGAAGCTTCACTTCTGTGGAGGGACATTTTCTGCACCTTCTCCCCACTAGCTGGGC